ATTTTGAAGACCCATATAAAAGGGTCACAGTAAATCCCTGGGTTCCCAGACCACACTTTGAGAACTCCTGCTGCATGTAATTATGTTATTCTATATGTGCATCCAATTTTTGTTTTTATTGGCACATGCTTTAATAAAATTATTTGTTCTTAGGGTTTCCCCCTCCTCGTTATTGCTTTATGCAATAGCTTACCATAAATACAATTACTAAGATGAATGAAGAAAATGGGACATCTACTAATACAGCTGTCTTAACCTCTTCAAAATGTCAATGTATGGGCACAGGTAGGAGAATTATCATAAAATGAGACTAAAGTAGAATAATAGCCAAAAGCAGTGTTCAGATTTTGACTGGCCTTGATTTGAAAAGAAAACCTAATTAGTAAAGATACTTTTAGACAATAGGTAATATTTGAATATAGAATAAATATTACATGAGATTATAGATTTATAGTTAATTTTATTAGGTATGATAATGGTATTAAGGTTATTTAGGAGAATGTTTTTATTTTTAGGATACATATGTTGAAGTATTGAAATTGTTTCATATTGGCAACTTATTCTAAAATGTTTCATTCAAAAACATCTATATATTCATTAATCTATGTACACACATAGAAGAATACCTGGATTGAGAGTAGATTAATAAAAAATGATACATGTTAACAGTTGTGATTCTATGTGTTAGGGATAGAGGTGACCTTTATTACCAGACTTTCAATTTATTTGACATTCTTTATAATAAAATGTTTGGAAATAAATGAAGTCACTAAATGAAATGTTACTAATATTTATTTATTTCCAAATCACTGTCTATAAAAATAAAGTGTTGTTTTGAAAGGTATTTTTTAGTACATTCATTGAAAAGTGGCCGGGTGTGGTGGCTCACGCCTGTAATCCCAGCACTTTGGGAGGCCAAGGCGGGTGGATCACAAGGTCAAGAGATTGAGACCATCCTGGCCAACATGGTGAAACCCTGTCTCTACTAAAAATGCAAAAAAATTAGCTGAGCGTGGTGTCACTTACCTGTCGTCTCAGCTATTTGGGAGGCTGAGGCAGGAGAATTGCTTGAACCCGGGAGGCAGAGGTTGCAGTGAACCGAGGTCGCCACTGCACTCCAGCCTGGTGCCTGGTGACTGAGTGAGACTCTGTTTAAAAAAAAAAGAAAGAAAGAAAAAGAAAAGAAAAGTCTATAGCTCCATGAGTAAGCGATAAGCATGGCTATTTGATAAGGTTGTTGTAAAAATGAAATTTATATTATCTATAAAATCCTTAGCTCAGTACCTGGCAAATAGAAACTACTCAAATCTCTTCATTTATTGTCATTACAAATTCGAATTTCTACATTCAATTAGAAAAACCAATGGAAAAGCACCACACATTAAATCATCTCTATTATATTACATTCTAGTGCCTTCTGTAACTTCAGGCCTATTGCAAGTCCTTAGGGAAGCAAAACGTTTTAATGCCTTTGTAAGAATTACTCATAATTAGCATGTAAATTGTTAGAATAATTTTTTTTTTACATAACTGAAAATATTCTCCTCTAATGTTTAAATATTTTATCTGGACGTTTGTCCTTGCAATTATTTTGCCTTCAGTTTTCTGAAGCATAGACAACTTTATTTTGAATTATTATATATATATATATATAATTTAGTGGAGTCTAAATTGATGTATTTTGATGTATTAGAGAAAACTAAACTAATATATCTCATGGGTAGAATTTCAAACTATAAACATTTTCAATAGTTTTGTTCCTAGTTTGTAAGCCACTGGTAGACCAGTCATTCTTAAAAAGCAAATTAATTATGAGACAGAATTTATCTAGCATTTGAAGAATATAAATTTTAGGATCTTAAAGATGGCTAGAAAAGTGTTTTCACAATAATTTATAAAAGTGAAGTCACTTATTTTTCCTGTTAAATGATTTTCTTTTTCTGAATTCCAGAAGTTCTTCCATTATAATTGGTAATATTTTAGAGTGTTTCTTCTTAAAAATCATTCTTAATTTTTATTAGCAATAAATGCTGCTCAGTGTTTTGAGGCATTTAAAAAGGAATTTTAAATTGTAAAAGACTATACATTTAAAATGCCCTCCTAAAACCTGCTGCTTTTGTTTTTACTTAATGCATTATATAGTCTAGTAAATTTCTTCTCTTGCATAAGAACTCTCATGGAAATGAAAATACTGTAGTATGGCTAGAGATAGCCAAAGCCTGAAGTAAAATAAGAGGCATAGTATAATAGGAATAGGCTTGTCTAAAGAAGGAAGCCAATTATAATAAAATGAGAAAAACCTCAGTTGTAGTTTGTATTTTCCACAAATATCTAATGGAATAGAAGCACTCTATTCATCTCAGAAGAAATTGAAATATAGCTCATTAAAAGAACAAGGAAGGACTAAATTTTTCAACCTACATAACTCATGGAAACAGCTTCCTCTATCTCCTTCTGTCTTTCTGTGATATGGTCCATCCAGCTGCTGAAATAGACTGCCTTCTGGAAATTAAACCCCACATGGGTCAGACCATAGCAGTAAATCTGGTGCAACAGATGGTCCTGGGCGAATTGTTACACCTCTGCATAAAACCTTGGGATTTCATTAATAAGATTTACCCTAAATAATGGAAATCAGAATGACAAATTAACAGCAAAACTTTCATGCTTTTACCAAAAGAGCATATTATTGTTTCTTTTATTGTATAATTCTAAGCAAGCTAAAATTATGCTGTATGTCAAATATCAGGAATACACCTATATATGCACTCAGTTATAGCCGCTTCTCCGCTCAGACATTAAGCTGTGATTAATTAAGACCATAGTTCCACATCCCAGTAAGATTTTCCAGTGAAATTTCAGGAATTACATGTTGATAAGCTTTTGTTTTTAAAAATTTAAAGTTATTATAATTTCACATAAAGTAAGTTTTATTGGTTTGTGCATTTGACATCATTTATTATTTTTATTTGTTGTTTCATAGGGAGAAATAAGACAACATTGTTCAATGACAGTACTATGAGTATGGATCCTTGTTCTACCTTTCAGATCTAATCACTGTGTTTTGAAGCATTCACAATTCCATGCTTTCATAACCACATTTGTTATTTATAAATAGCTGAAAATACAGGGGGCTGAAAAAGACAGATTGTGTTCTATATTTGTATGGATTTTTAATTCTAGCAGAGAAGACATACAATAACAAATATCCAGGCCAGGCACAGTGGCTCACACCTGTAATCCCAGCACTTTGGGAGGCCAAGGTGGGAGGATCACGGGGTCAAAAGATTGAGACCATCCTGGCCAATGTAGTGAAACCTTGTGTCTACTAAAAATAGAAAAATTATCTGGGAGTGGTGGCGTTTACATGTAGTCCCAGCTACTCAAAAGGCTGAGGCAGGAGAATCGCTTGAACCCAGAAAGTGGAGGTTGCATTGGGCCGAGTTTGTACCACTGCACTCCAGCCTGGTGACAGAGTGAGTCTCCATCTCAAAAAAGAAACAAACAAAAAACCCCAAATATCCAATTAGTTATCTAATTACACTTGTAGGAAGGGATTAAAGAGCTCATGATAGGAGAACTTGACCTAGCTGGAGAGGGGTTGAGAGAGTGGGAAGCTTTCCAAATTTGTTAAGTGAATGCTTGCAGATCTGAATGCATCATCAATCAACCTCTGTCTTGAATAATGCGTAGGAGTTAGCCTAGAGAAAGGTTTGTGTATGGAGGGAGACCTGGAAAGGGAAATAGAGATTGAAGGAATCTAGTGACAGCAGACTAACAAAGGAGAGAGTGGTTTTCTCCTAATTGTAAGTTGAGGGACCTATCAACAAAAAGAGTCAAACTCTGTAAAGTATTTGAAGAGATTTATTCTGAGCCAAATGTGAGGACTGAAAACATGTGCCCAAGGTGGTTATAGCTTGATTTTATACATTTTAGGGGGGAAGTTACAAAAGTAACAGGCAGACATCCATCAGTACATATAAGGTATACATTGGTTTGGCCTGGAAAGGCAGGACGCTCAAAGTGGGATCTTCTAGGTAATAGGTGGATTAGAAGATTTTCTGATTGGCAATTGGTTGTATGAGTTGAGTTATTAGCTGAAAACCCAGATTCAATAAAGGAGTTTCTGGATTAGGATAAGGGATTGTGGTGACGAAGGTTCTTATTATGCAGATGTGCCTCCAGGTAGCCGGCTTCAGAATTCTTATTAGACCTAAAAAGATGTCAGATTCTTAGTTAATTCTCTTCTAGATTAGGAAAAGACCTGGAAAACAAAGGAGATATTGTATAGAATGTAGATTTTTCCCACAAGAGATAGCTCTGCAGGAGAGAAATACGTTTCAAAATACGTCAAAGGAATATATTTTGGGGTAAAATACTTCCATTTCTTTCAGGGTATGCTATCTGTCATGTAATTCTATACTAGAGTCAGGTTGAAATTTGGTATCTTATTTCTACAAAGAGTCTGTTTTGTCAGTCTTAAGATTTCTGTTTTAATGTTAATTCTAGAAAGTGTGACTGAATTCCAAAGTGAGGAGGGTATAATGAGGCATGTCCCATCTCTTCCTTCCCATCATGGCCTGAACTAGTTTTTCAGGTTGACTTTGGAATGCCCTTGGCCAAGAGGGGCATCCACTCAGTTGACTGGCAGGCTTATAATTTTCTATTTGGTTTATACATCCATGGTGACACAGGTAAATATAATAGTGGTTTCGACTCAGTCTGTCCAACCTCTGAGTTTTTTTTTTTCATACTCCATGCCTTTTCCCTGTTAGACCTCAAACCATGCTTAAATGATTGCTTTGATCTTCATTGGCAGCTTTTCTTTTTTTTTTTTTTTTTTTTTTTAGGTTGTGTAGCTAATGTATTTTTTTTTTTTTGCAGATTTTTTTGTCATAAAATAGTTTTGTATTTTAATTTAGATTTATGGTCATTTTATTACTTATGAAAGTAAGTTGCTATTCATGTGTTTAGCATTATTCTGTTTTTCTTTTTTTCAGCGTTCCAACATTCCAGAGCCTTCCTGAAGAGATCCTTAGCAAGCTTGCTGATGTCCTTGAAGAGGTAATTGTTTTTAGTCTCTGAACTTTTTGAGATGGGACCCAGCCTGCTTGGCTGGCCTGTTTCACAGATGTCCAATGAGGAATCACAAACTGCAAAGACATTTAAAGTTCTTTTTTAAGTTCTGGGATAAGCTATGTATTTGACTTCATATAGAAAGCAGCTTAGCACGTCTGACATTTATACACAGAAATGTGCAAATCAACCTAATTACAGAGTGAGACAAACTTTTTGTTGTGGTAAATACCATGTTACTTTGACTTACAAGAATAGGAATTGGCATATTTCTCTTATTTTAACTAGTGTAAAGTAAAATTATAGTTATTGCCACTCTGAAGCTTCAGATTAGCAAATTTGCAACAGGAATTAGTAGTTGGGTACACATTTCATTACTATATAAGCATATTTGATACAAATAATTTTATGCTTGAAAGTAAAACATCACTTTTAGTTGTTTTTCTCCAAACCTATAAAGCTATAGTCTTAAGAAAGAGGAGAAACAATGCACATTAGTCTATCCTTCTGTATACGGGACTTCATAACAGCAGCAGCAGGAGGAAGTTTTTCCATACAAACTGATGAGCTTTATATGGAATGTAGTCTAAAGTTGTTCTCCTAAAGGTATTGGGCATGGAAGTTTTGTTTCAGGTCGAAAAGATTAAAAAATTACCTTTTCCTGTTTGCTGAGGAAATAGAGATGCATTGGTGGTATGGGAAAGTTCAGACTTTTTCTCTTAAGTTTCAAGTCTAAGTCTTTTGGAATGAATTGACAATAGCAAGATTAACAGAAGAAAGTGTCATACAGGAATAGTGTATGGGGAGGTCATCATGGCAGAATTGGAGGGTGAGGTCAGAAAAAGGTGTGTCGAGAGTGCTATAGGAGCAGGCAAGTAATGGAAGGCCACTTAGGACATGGCAATTAATTTATTTTTACTTAGAGTGAGGTAGAAGCCATTGGATGGCTCTAAGTACAGCAATGAAATTATTTGACTTAGATTTTTAACAAAATTGTGTGGCTGCTGTGTTAAAAAAATAAAGAGGCTGCTGCAATAATCCAGGGAGTAATAATGGTGACTTTGTTCACTGTGGGAGAAGGAGATTGAAAAATAGTCAGATTGTGAGTATATTTTGAAGGTAAAGCTGAAAAGCTTTACTGTTGCAGTGAACTTGTAAAATGAAAGAATGAGAGGAATCAAGGAGAAACTCTGAGGTTTCTGCTTTAACTAACTAGAAGGATGAAGTTGTCATTTTTTGTTTATTTACTTTGAGATGGAGTTTTGCACTGTCACCAGGCTGCAGTGCAGTGGCTGGATCTTGGCTCACTGCAACCTCCACCTCCCAGGTTCAAGTGATTCTTCTGCCTCAGCCTCCCAAGTAGCTGGGACTACAGGTGCATGCTACCATGTCCAGCTAATTTTTGTAGTTTTAGTAGAGACAGGATGGTCTCCATCTCCTGACCTCATGATCCACCCTCCTCAGCCTTCCAAAGTGCTGGGATTACAGGCATGAGCCACAGTGCCCGGCTGGAGTTGTTATTAATTAACATGAAGAAGCCTGGAAGAGCAGTACATTGAGGTGGAGAGATAAGAAGCTCAGGGAGAGAGGATGGGGTAAAATTGAAGCTTAGAGATCTTTGGCAGGTAGATGGTTTGTTGTAGCATTTTTTATGTGGGGGGAGCTGTTGGCTATCTGAATATCATTCTGTGGAACCAAATGTGGATGAATACAAGGCAGAATCCTGACGGAGAGTGCACCCAACAATTATTATAAAACCATGAATGGTTCTCAAAAACATCATGCTGAGAGAAAAACTTAAAACAAACAAGAGATAGTTATTAAAACATCATTTACATATATGAAAATATATGAGCACAAAAATACATTTTGCTGAGACTCATGACAAACAAAATAAGGAAATGGGATACATGTGAACAGTGACCTATAACAGAAAAGGGAAGGGAGATCTACAGGGATAAAAGGGAATGAATGAAATAATGAAAATGAATGAATGAGGAGGAATCCATAGAGTAAAGCCTTGACTGATTCTTCACATTTCTACTTTAAGAGACTGAGGAATGAAGAGAAACCAGGAAAGCCTGTGGAAGTAAAAGGAAAATCAGGAACATTTTGCATGTTATAATCCAAGAGGAGAAAATAGCTTAGAGAAGAGTCAGCAAAACTTGGATTTTAATTTAGGTGAAAAGATAAGGAGAGAAATGGGGTCAGCAGGTAGGAATGGGAAAGTCAGGTTGAGAGAAACACAGAAAATATTATTGAAGCGGGAGACAGAGAGGTTTGCCTATATAGCCCCTTGAGTAAGCACAAAAGCATAGGCCCTCTAGTGCCTCTAGAAACAGGGAAGATAGACAATCTGGATGCGCACGCAGATAGGAGGATTGATGTAGTGGCTGGAGCTGTGGAAAGCCTGTTCTGATATATTCTATTTTCATAGTGATACAGAAAGCAAGGTGACCAAATGAGACTGAGGATAAGGTAGAGGTACAAATGGTTTGAGGAAGAAGGTATGAGAAAAATGGAAAAGTAAATGGACTATGGAAAGTCAGTATGATTGCTGGGCATCACTAAGGCCCTGCTTGATGTTGGCAATCCCAAATCTAAGTTAAACAGGCAATTAAGCATTTTTCAAGACTATTGCAATAGGGGAAGGAGATTCAACTCCATGGAACAAAAGGTAGAAGAGCTTTTAAGCACTGGGGTGAGCTAGTGGAAAGTCCTATAGCAGAACTCCAGTGGGGGAACTCCAGGAGGGAGGCAGTTGTTCATTAAGATTAGGTCATCTGTGTTTGCTATTCACCTCCTATGGAAGTGAGGTTCCCATCCTCCCAAGAGACTGAGGGAAAAGGAACCTGTCTCCTTCTAAGATTGCAATTCAAAGGGATGGCTCTAGGGTCTTTGAGAAAGACATTCCTGGGTTGTGAAATCAACTGGGAGAAGATTTCCATCTCAAAGAGGCAGATAAAGAATTTTCAGCCTGCAAGGTGGCTCAAGCCTGGAATCCCAGCACTTTGGGAGGCCCAGGCCAGTGGATCACGAGGTCAAGAGATCGAGACCATACTGGTCAACATGGTGAAACCCCATCTCTACTAAAAATACAACAAATTAGCTGGGCATGGTGGTGCGTGCCTGTAATCCCAGCTACTCAGGAGGCTGAGGCAGGAGAATTGCCTGAACCCAGGAGGCGGAGATTGTGGTGAGCCGAGATTGTGCCATTGCACTCCAGCCTGGGTAACAAAAGCGAAACTGTGTCTCAAAAAAAAAAAGAATTCTAAGTTGAAAGTTTTTAAAAATAGTGCTCCAAGTAAAGGGAAATCAGTAGCTTTGAGTCAGGAAGCTGACTGAACTAAAGTTTAGTCAAAAGTTTAGTCAAACTGAGAATATTTAGCCCTCTTGGGCACGAGAACACTTGATTACGTGTCCGTTTTTTAGCCTCATTCATTTGCCTGGATTAACTTTCCAGGTAGGTATAGAATTGAATTTAACCAAGATTGTTCTTTTGCCTAGAGAAGATGGGTGATTGACAGAGGGAATGCGGAGTTTGAGTGTGCATATGGAGAGTGATTTTAGTGATAGACTTTGGAATTTAAACAGGGCAAGGAGGGAAGGAGCACCAGATGGGAAGTAGCCAGTGAGAGGTGGTAGAATCAATGACTTTTAGTCTCCTGACGTTAAAGAATTTCTGGAGTAGGGTATAGTGAAAAGGCTTTTGTCTCTAGGTACTGACTATACCAGTAATTCTGTGATCCATATACATATTCTTAGCTGGTGGCTTATTGAAGTCAGCTTTGCTGTGACTTACTGGTCTCCTTCATCTATGTGAAAATAAAGTGAAGCAGAACATTGTCACATTTGACTCTTATGTTCAAGTATGAAAAATTTATGAGAAAAGGTACTGGCTGTATTTCTCCCTGAATGTGCTGACCTGTAACCTCTGTAAATATAAAACTACTTTTCCCAGTTGGTCTTTTGCCTTTTGCTTTTTTTATTGAATACACTGAAGATCTCTCTGGTGACACTGTGTGTTGTTGGTTTTAAATTGAACTAAAGCACAAATTTATTAGCCCCAATCAACCTCCTAAAAAAAAAACCCAGCAAAACAAAGACCTCATGAAATTCTTTAATCACTGTCTTTCTTTTCCACAGCTGTGAAAATATTTGTTATTTTGTGTAACAAAAGCCATAGCTCTATAAATAATTCTGACCAAAAAAATAAATATTTTAGTATTTTATGTCAGATTTTCTAATCAGAAGATGCCTTAATTTATGTTTGGATTGTGTGAGCCATGGTACCAATGTTGAATTAAAATGGAAGCAGATGATTAAGTACTCATATATTTGTTTTCAAAATATAAAAATGAAGTAAATACACAAAACACAAACTAGTCATGTAAATATAGTATTCAGTACAAACAAAATATTTAACTCAAGTTAAACAGGCACAATGAAAAACGAAATTATGTATCAGATAAAGTGAAGCAAATTTGGGAGAGCAGAAGCAATACTGAAGTCACATAACATTAAGGGGAAATGTGCTTGCATAATAATTGAACTGTCATTCTACAAATAGCCACAGGAAGATGAAAGAACCCCAGATTATTTTGAAAGGAAAGCAATACCATTATAGCCTTCATCAAAGGAGTTTACAGCTTTGTCTGTTTGACAAGTATTTATGGCACACCTGCCCTGTGCCAGGAATTGTTTCAGACCCTGGGATTCAGGACTCTGCTCTCCCATAGCATGTGTTTCAATGAGGGATACTATGATAAGGAAAAAAGGAGAATAATATCAAGTGAGAAGGCTACTTCTGTAGTTACTAAGGGAAGAACTCTCTGAGGAGGTGATATTTAAACCAAGATCTGAATGAACGTATGGAGAGCCATGTGCATCTGGCGGAGGAAAGAGCAGGCACACCATTTTAACGTAGGAATGAGGTTGCTGTCCTTAAGGAACAGAAGGAATATTTGTGGATGGTTGTAGTGAGGTGA